TCGCTCATTACCCAAAACTCGCACGGAATTACCTTATTCTTTCCTGTAAACAACTATTTTCAGCCGCTACAGACAGATGTGTTGCGTAAAATTGATGTGATTTTTCTGTTTTAAAACATCGCTTCATTCTAAGAAATAATATCGGAATCAATACGAATGCTTTGAGAAACAGGTTCTCAAAGCTTCCGTAGTTTGTTTCAACCTGTTTCTTAAAGCTCGTGTTGCTGAAAGTTCCTTCTACATCTAGAAATGTACAAAACGCAATTTCTTTGTTTTTATAGACCTTTTCAATTCTACAAGTTAAGTTATGCAAGAACAATGTGATTGCTTATATAATACAAGCTATTATAAGTATTTTAATAACAATTATTATTTGAATTGAATTATAACTATTCATTTAAAACTTACAATTTAAAATTATTACACTTTTCTAAAACCGACGCACGTGTCACATTTTGGTTTTTCCCATAAATCCGCTTCTTCATCTCCATCTTTTTCAGATATCATCCTGCCTAACTGTGTTGCTACCGTGAATCTTCGCAAGATTCACTAATCCGACAAGCGGCTAGCTTGGTGACTGGATGGGTTAGGAAATCATTCTTGGAAATAAATTGTCACAGATAATCACAAAATCTCCAACTATAAGGGGCACAACCTCCTTATACCATATAGGTCGTCGCAAACGGTGAGGCAAGAACTTCTTGAATATGCCACTGTTTACCAAGACTGATAGTTACGACTTCAAAGTCGCATGTTTGTTTACTATTGGCACAGCCTAATTAGAAATGATTATTATACGATTGACTGAGAACTGACGGGTTAAAGGTGGCGCTGGCTTAACGGCCTCAAGGCGACATTCCATGCAATAGCGAAGGACTGCGACTACGATGCCCAACAAATGGTTTACATTGTGACCGAAAAGTTTTCGGGAAATTTTAAATAAAACGCAAAATTCTTAATCTTCATCAATATTTATTTTATCTCCTTCAAAATATGCTCCATTAGAAGCGAATACACAAATGCCAAAACGTTTCTTCCAATCATCAAAACATTTTTTATAGGCGCTTTCCGGTATGGCTTTGAGTTCCCTCTGCGAATTCTGTTTTACGTCTTCTATGGATTCAAAACGCGTTCCTCTGAGTGGTAATTTGAGGTTGGGAAACAGGAAAAAGTCACACGGTGCAAGATCAGGTGAATACGGTGGCTGTTCGATGGTATTTATTGAATGTTTGGCCTTAAAATCGTTGATAATGTTGAACAAATTGAGGTGAATCGGAACAAGCCGGGCGTTGACACGTCGCATACACAAATTGTCCACCAAAATCAAACGAGCCATCTCACGACCGATGCCTAGCTCTCGTGCTATCTCTCTAACACTCACATGAGGATTTTTGAACACGATTTCCTTTGCCTTTTCAATGTTTTCGTCGGTGGTAGAGGTCGAAGGTCGTCCAGAACGCGGCATGTCTTCGACGGTCGTACGACAGTCCTGAAAGGCTTTGTACCACTCATAAACTTGAGTTTTCGATAAAACTGATTCCCCATAAGCCTTTTGTAGCATTCGCAACGATTCTGCACACGAAATTTCGTTCGAAAAACAAAATTTGATGCAAACTCTTTGTTCAATATTTTTTTCCATTGTTTTTTTCGCAACGCACTACTGAGGTGAACTGGTTTCAACAGCTGCCGTAAACGAACTGTCCGACAAGAATCGCGCTCATTTTTGGCATAGTAATTAAAGACAGTGCTGCCAAACTACATAAACTTAAAATATCGAAAAATATACAGCGCGCGAATTTTAAATGAGAATTTCCGAAAACTTTTCGGTCACAATGTAAATAGACTTTTCGCATCCACCCAACAAAAGATTGTTTTAGAATCTGTTTAAAATACAGTGCGGCTTCCATTTATTTCATGTCTGTCCACCATCAGCGTTAATAATCGAGTAGCCAAGACCGCAGCCAGAAGTTTTAAGCTTGGAATGGATAGGAGTTTCTGTGGCGGTAGACGAGCCTTACCAAAGACAAAAACTATATTGACAGCATATTGATATTCAATCCACTGATACGCGGCTGCAACGAATGCAACTTGACTGGCATCCATAACTATATGGATTTGGACCTCATTGGCAATGTTGTGATGCGGTTAGTAGCACTTTGATACATCATCATTTTCATTGATGGCAGATAAGATGTTAAAGGCTCTCAAATCATCGGCTGAGTTCAAAGGCTGTGTTGGATTTTCAATTCCAAAATGTTCACTATTGAAAATTATCATATTCACTAATTGGTGGTTCGGCTTGTGCAAACAAAATTGGCAAATGGACGGTGGTACTTGAACCTGTTAGACCATACACCACCCATTCATGTTTCATTCGAATAGCAACTGAATCAGATGAGTTAGCTGACACTAATGCGGAATACGCACTTATGTTGTCGCATTTTAGACTTAGCAGGCGAACACCCTTAAAGTCTTCAATTCGTAAACATTCAAAGTGCTCATAATCTGATTTTTTAAATGATTGTGTTAGCAGATTAAGATTGATAATGACTTGAACGTCATGCTTCACCATTTATCTTGACAGCACTATTGATTTTTTAGTCATCTTTCCTTCATCACACCACTGCAGTGTTAGGTGTTGTTAGACCATCTAACCTTCTAGCTGACTCGCAATTTTGGCATCCAACATAGAGATTAACGACCCTTCATCCACAAGTGCGAAAATCTTTAGTTGACCTTTGGATCCATAGTTTTTATCGGAATGAATTTAAAGAGAAAGCCGAAACATGGCTTAGTACAACTCAAAGCCTGCTGAACTGAATCAGACATAGACCCCGCTTGCTGTTTTGGGCGTATGTAGCAATTTGTTATGGTTTTTCGGCAAATATTTATATCGCAAGATTTTTTTATTCGGCATTGGATAACATTATATCTTTTACGCAAATATGAAATACACAATCGAAGCTGTTTCACCTTTGACCAACGCTGCTGAACATTTCATATTAATCGAAAATGCTTCATATATGCTATCAAATGTGGGCCTGCGCACACAAAATTCTTTGCCTCCCAGGCGATTCTCTTGCTTCGTCTAATGGTTTCTCACAATGGCTGTGATAAAAGCCAAATTATTTTCACGATTTCACTCAACCAAACACTAAGTCCTCTTATTTTGAAGTATATCTTCAGAAAAACTGTATGACGCTCCAACTCAAATTGTTAAATAGGCGGCAACTTATATACCAGCTGTCCTATCAATGTTCGGTCGTTCAAGTGTTGCTCACACTTGAATGATGACAAAAAGGCTACGATATTTCACAAAAGAGATGATAACGTAATTAAATCATCAATATTTCTCCCAGTAATTTTCTCTAATTATTGAATTTTGTCTAACTAGGATTGTACTAGCAAATTTGCTTGGCTATATCGAAATTTCAATTCATTAATAACTACAGGCACATCAAATGGGTATAGTGACTGAACGACTTCCTTGGCTTCATCCATTAGGCATTTCTGTAGCCGCTTTTAATTATACCTCTTAATATACATTATGTTTCTCTGTCCTTGTGTCCTGGTGTTTAATTGGAACATTTTGCTCCACAGGACGTTGCTCCGATTGACGCTTCATCCCAATGTGGCTGAAGCGGTACGATATTCTACATCCACTATGGGCCAACGTAGACCAGGATGAGTCGTTTACGACAAAGTCGAGATGAAGTACCGAACCCTCAGTGATTCACTGTAGCTTCGTGCAAATGCTTACATAACCCTGCTTTGGGCCTCAATTGTGGCTAGGAAGACCTCCTGTAGCTCTACAATTTGGTCCCAATTAAGGGCGAATTAAAATATCAATTATAAATCGTTGACATTATGGAAACATTTGTTGAGTTCCTTCTGTGCCGGATTTTTTAAAAAATATGGGAAAACTTAACAATCTATATGAGAATTGACCACGTTCTTTTATAAAAGATTTTAGTACTCTCATTGATTGCCATGTAAAGGCATCACTCTAGTGGTAGATTTAGATTTACACGGTTCACGGTCTATTAGGAAATCATGTTAGAAGTTTCAATCTCCCTTTAAATCACAATTAAAGTTGCCGTGGAGATGACGGTCGTGCATTGTGACGTTTTACTATTTTAGGAGCTTTTTTGATGATCTTGTCCAACTTTAGGACCTTCCTTTAAAAACCATCTTTCGGTCTAAATTAGACACAATTTGTACCAATCAGCTGGCTTACCTAAATCGAAAAAAAATCAGAACTATGGTATAAGTGCCGTCATGTCATTGTGATTAGAAAGCCATGCAACATGATTTAATCTACCCTCTGAAGATTTTTGCCGTGACTATGGCTCTGCAGGCGAGGAGGAACCTCTACTTCAACTCATTTGTCAACACCCATTATTAGCTAGAAAAGGATTTGAAATATTAGTGGCACCATTCCTACCTGACCTGACAGAGCTATCATCCTTAAGAATAAGGGACAAGGCCAAGTTCATAGACCCTTTACATAGTGTTTTTTTCTAATTAAATAGGGTGACGCGCCTACTCAAAGTGACTGCGTTTGTGCGTTAAACGTTTAGAACTTCTATCTTTTACATAGCTTCTCAGGTTTGGGGTACGGATAGTGTTTTCAATGGTACAACATTTATCACTATATTCTTATTTACTTTCATTTACACTTAGAACAACAAAATGGGTAAACTGCAATATTTTTTTAATACGTACAATAATAATAAAAATAATTCCTAATAAAGGTACCCTCTTTGGTATAATTTCAGTTCCTACTCATCTCCATCGTTAATAATATAACCCCTTTAATTACTTCAGGTGTTGCTGCATCAACGCAGTTCTTCTCAATTTTGAAGTTTTCTGTACTTCAATTAATTTACCATCTCTATCCGAATGTTCACATTCAGTAGTTTAATTTATTTTATGAATTCAATAAGGTTAAGTGAGCTTTTAGGTTCAAATCTTATAAAAGAAGTACATAAACACATTAATTTAATGATTTGCATATTTTATCTTTTATTTAACAACTTTTACCTGAATAAACGTAAAACGCTACCACAAGTTAATAATAATCTTAATATAGTAAGGGTATTGAAATTACATAAAATACGACGTATATTCATGTGGCATTACGCCCCTGCGTGGATAAAAAGTGTGAGATGTTGAAAAATTCAATAAATTCGTTATGTCACTGGTGTAAACATCAGCAAAGCGAAATAAACGCCGTGAGAAGTATGTTGGATTATGGTAAGTGCGAAAGACGCTCCCAAATTGCATATTAAACACCATTTTGGTTTTGTTTCTATTTTGAATATATAACAAAATTTAAGAACTTGTAAAATAAATACAAAATTTACCGCAATTGATCTCGTTCTGCCGTCCATTTCTTTAATGCGATCTGTGCTGCCTCCGTTTCGTTATCTTGATTCTCCTCAATTAACTGAGTCAACATTTGAAGCCAATTTGCATTAATTTTGAAACTGTCTTTATTTAGAGTATTAATTTCATGCTACAAATATGAAAACTTTGATAAAAAATTTAGATTCAGAAGTATAAAAAAAATGTGTACAGTGAGTTCGTTTATAATTGCGCCAGTACGCCAGCCATGCTCTAATGTGACATCTGCTAAGTCACTATATGGATGATCACCAAAATACAGGACTGAATGACCACGCCAGCCTCTTAAATCTTGTAATTGCTTGACAGTACCCTAAAAATAATATAATTAAGGTTTGTATACATTAACTGCAATTTATATAATTTTACTAATTTGTATTCGTCGCTATGCATGCGTATTAAAATATTCAGCAAGCATACAAATAACATTCGATCAAAAGCTTAATTGTAAAGATTTTCATACCAGTACAATGCAATATTATAAAAAGTATGGTGTTAGTATGAAGTGCTTGATTGTTATATTATGAGATCTCAGAAAAAAGTAACAAAAACCTTGAGTTTTGAACAACGAAAACTACGAATTTCGTGCAGTTTTGTTTTGTCCGGTTAAAAGATGCGAAGGCATTGCTGCGCGAATCATTGGACACGTTCAAAATTTAAAGACTGACGCTTGAGTCCAACAAACATATATGAACTTATAAAACCAACAAATATTTCCAAAGAACACTGATGATAAAAATTTGCCTCGAAATTGAATTGTCAGCCAACATTCAACATTCAATTAAAATTTAATTAATTTTATTATTGTAATTCACAAATATTAAAAATTCTTCTATTTCAAAAAAAAAAAAAATTTGTTGAATGAGTTTTTTTATATACCTTCTTACCATATGGACTCATTCATTATGACTGCAATTATTTACTTTAAATTATTAATAACCTGTGTTGGTTATTAAAATAAACCCACATGTTGCTCTGTTAAAAAATAGTTTTGAAACATTTTTTTTTTTTGGACCTACTATTTTATTGTTTATTATAATTTGTTGTGGCAATAGATGTAAGAGTTAGAACACCTAACAAACATTACTCGGAGCAAAAACGACTTTCGTTTCTATGTGACTCAAAAAGTCTTTCTGCCAACGACCGAAATATTAGATTAAACTCCTAACGAGCAGAGTAAGCAAATTTTCCATAAAAATGACAGCAATGCACATTATACATTAAGTTTCTTAACTCTTCCAAACACTTTTCCGCTGTTAAGTTATGAGTTATTATGAGTTATTATTCGCAATAGTAACATACATGCAACAAAAACTATAATTTTTATATATATTAATATAACCACAGGCAGTAGTATTTGCTGAATACTAAGGAAATGATGCTAATTGAAAACAGTAATAGAAAACAGCAAATCTGTTCAACAATACCAGTAACATCAATATTTTTTGAAGGGTTCGAATTGAAATTAAAAAACAACAACAAAAATTTAGCTAATTAATTATTTTTGCCGAAAGGTACACTTCTTATGACAATAATGAAGTTTTTTTTATTTTTTTAATTTAGAAGGATTCGAATATCAAAGAAACGACAACAACCAAAATTTTAGTTAATTTTTTGAAATTTGGCTGACCATACAACGTTATTTCGAGTATTGACAAGTACTCTTCATCAGTGGTCTTAGGAAACATGCGAATTTCCTTTTAATTAGTTTATAGTCCGTATATAATTTGTTTGGACTGCAAGTGCCAGGCTTAGAACTTATGCCTGTCAAATTAGAAGCGATGACTAATCGTGTTTAACCACAAGTAGCCAAGGCTGCACAAACTTTCAGTGTTCCCGTTCCAGGTTTTTTGTGACTTTTTTATTTAATTAGTGACATTAAACAAAGCACTTGCCGTGCTTCAAATTAGAACGAGCTTATAAACTACAGCTTTGTTTGAAAACACAAGTTCAATGAATTGAAAGTTATTTTTTGAGGTTACCTATTTTTATTGCAAAACTATTCTTTTTGCAGAAATATCTGTTATGCATATTTTTATTTACTATATGTAAATCGCCTTTTTTGGAAACAATTTTACAAAGAAGCTACGCAAATGCTGCTCTACAAGTTTGCTAATCGCGATTAGGAAAATCCCAACAATATTATTGTTGATATTTCCTAAAATTCTAATTTTTTAATGTTAATTTTTTCTTGCCGAAAGAGACGCGCCTTATGACGAAAATAAAATATTAAAAGTCGCTAAGAACACTGATGAATGAGTATTTGGGAATACTTGAAACCGCATTGTATGGTAGGCCAAATTTCAATAAATTAACTAAATTTTTGTTGTTGTCTTTTCCTTTCTATTCGAATCATTGAAACTTTTAACATTTTTTTTTTCGTCATAGGGCGCGTCACTTTCAGCAAGAAAAATTGAACATTAATTAATATTTTTATTTTAAAATCAGACAAAGCAGCATTGTTAATATGAGTCATAAAGAGTCAACCCCAAGTATATACATAACACACATATTAAGGACCTAGGCTGGGATCGCACCTATTCTACATAAGAGGAAACTACTCATTGGGTGCAATGTTCCGCGTATCCCAAAAACTATGTTGCCCTTTGTACTTCAAGAGTTTGTTTGTTTTCTGTAATGTTTGCAGATATGTGTACTGGCTGCATGCTTAACTAAAATGAAGGGATGGTTATGCTTAATTATTGTTTACTATTTTTGTACAAATCAAAATTTTTATCCAATAATTACGAATTCTTTATTTTTGTTGTAGTTCCTGGTTACATAGGAGCATTAAAGTGAATACAAAAATAACTGAAACGTCATAAATTATTTATTCATTTGATTGTGTTTTAAAAAAAATATTAAATATGAAACTTAAAAAAAAAACACATAAAAGTAAATATGAAATCTTTTGGGGGTTTGTGATTTATAAGAATATTAGAAATATAATTATTTACATAAGCTCCAAAAAAAAAAATTTAATATTAAATGAAATATACAATATATATATATATATATTTATAAATTATAGTCTAATACATACTTCATAATAAATTTTCCCTTTTTCTAGATTAGAAACTCTGTCCCAAACGTGAGTCTTTGTTTTTTCATCATATAGTCGAATAGGTCTCGACTCATCAGTAAAGAACTTTGGTTTACGTGCTTGCACGATGATGACATCAAAATAATTACGCCAATTTGTACCAGCTAACAAGGTCATCCCACGGTCACTACAATTGTTATATTTTATGTTGTTAACAATTTATGCGTAATTTCTAAATGTTTATTTATACACACTATTCTAATGTAATTTAGAGAATGCATGTATAAATGTGATCAAAGCCAATTGCACTTTATGAGGCCGGTTAACCAATTTAAAATCAGCAGTTGGTTGTAGTTTTAAAGTCAAATATCACTATATCAATATAATAAAGGTGATGTAGTCAAAGTTTGAGGTATATTAAAGCACTAAACAGTAGACATAACAATAGACATGGATATGCTCTACAGAACTATATTAAACTGAAGATAAAGAAAATCAGTGCTAGTGTCAATGACTTCAAAATCGACACAGAACGAACAGTGCTCACCTCACTTTGTGGAAAAAAGTAAAGGTTAAATAACCAAATATTACGATTTTGACTTTTGGCGGAACTTACACAAAGTGAATGGAGTTCGATAGCTTGTTTACGGAAATGGTCCAAAACCATCAGTTGTCGCAATCACAGTTGTGGTATTAAAAAATATTTTGATTAGCGATGCACCACTAAACCTGCTCTAATATATAGCTTTAACCAACCTAAATTATGCTACGGAATATCAAATATTGAAATAGTGTTATGATATTCAAAAAGTCATCGTCTCCATCATCCACTAATAATTTATCCAGTCGTAAAAAATGTAACAGCAAATTACATCTGAATTATGTACGTCAGCACCCTAGAAGGTTTGCTAGCATTAAAACTTTGGGCATAGGCACCAGTTCCTAGGGTCCAATGCTGTTATATATTCTAACAGAAAAAGTGGATTAGCACGTCAGCCTATTATAAAAAGAGTTCCTGTCACAACCTTGTGGATTGCAATCAGCAGCCCACTTTCTCTGATTTTTAGAGAAATAGTTTTACTCAAAAAAAGTGACAATTTGAGTTAACCAATCAAAATAGTAGCAGCAACTGCAGCTACAAATAATACGACAATGTGAATATTGTGTCACCTCGATGCTTATCCCATCTATTGGTGCAACAAGTTCCTGTTAGTAACAGAACCAAAAGGTTTCAGTGTAGTGATACGCTTAAACTTGTGGCTAAATTATCTACATAGCTGACACAGGATCAATGACTGCAGAGGCAGATCATTGATCATGAATTTATAGAGTAGTGCCGATTTATTTAATTAAAAGACTGTTCATTAGATGTTTCTTATTCATACTGATTTCATTTTGGTTTTAAGTTCTTAAACTTACATGGACGGTAGTGTGCACATACCGCGACTTGCAAGTTTAGCATTTATGCCTCGCGCAAGACGGTCAACGTTCTCAAGTAAAGAACAAGATATCATATTCTTCTTGTATAAACATTTACAGTTTAGCGTGGGAATAAAAAATACTAAAAGATAGCGCGGTTAGCAAAAAAGCCAAAGTATGCACACTATAATAGCGCAATACTGGATCTTTTACTCTGTTGATCACATCATCTTTAAACAAAATATATGTTCTTCTTTGGATCGCAAAAAGATCAACATTGCCAGAAACAAAAACTCACCAGTTGAATACAGGATCATATTTAGTTTTGACTCTCAAGTAAATGTAATTACAATAAGTAAACCCAAACCGTGAAGCAGAATTATTAGTGCTACAAAAGTCTCATTTGGCTGGGCAAGCAGCGATGTATTATGTGGCTGTACCCAAGTTGTAGCCACATGTGCTATAGTCAGTAAAGACCAAGACCAAAAGAATAATCCGAAACATCATTCATATAAAACATTCATTACAATGAAAAAGGTCGGTTCTTAGTCAAAATACCATTTACAGAAGATCTATCAGTACTTAATGAATCACGAAAAAAGACCTTGAACCGATCCATGGGACTAAAACAGAGGCTAAGCAACAATTAAGGTCATAATACATCGCATTTGTGAGGGATAAAAGAAGGGTCAACTTTATACACAAACTTGTCAAAAATAAAGAGAGGCAGTCTGGTTACGAACGTCGGCGAGTGAGGTTGTGCACGCTGATATTACTGTTACTTGTGTGCTTTCTATTGTATTGTGATTTACTCCAATACAAATATATCAAAATTAAGCTAACTTTGTGTTTATTTTTGACAAACTAATTAATGTCTAATAAGTGTGTGCTCAATTGTGAAGTAGAAGCACTATAACTAAGTGAGCAGTAGCCCACGACAGTCATGTCACTTAATGACATAATGCAGAAAGTATCTGTACTACAGAGAAAGCTTTCTGACATATTGATGTGGATAGACGGATATCGAAAGATGTATCGGCAGATTCATTAAAAAACAAAATTTTCAAAATATAAGGAGGTGTAAGCCGCTCCGTATCTATTCACCAAGTACCTGCAAATGTTAGCCTTAAACAACAAAGCTAAATATCCTCTTGTATCTGCATTAGTTAGTTAGTTAGTTGAAATGGAGAGAGGAACGAGTCCTCCTCAATTAGCTAATAAAGCCGTTTTGAATTCACAAATCCTCGTAATAATGGGTAGAAGGAGGTTAAGCTGGAACCATTTATATGTTAAAGAAGGGAGATCTAATTCGATAACTCTCAGATTTAAGTTGATACGGCAACAGACACATAAACTACGAAACGAACTATCTGCACCGAAATAGCACGAATCCTTAACCCACTAAAGCTCATTAATCTTGTAACGGCAAAAGCAAAGAAGTTCATTCAACAACTATGGCAACTTAAACTTGGAATCTCATTACCCTTTGTCCTGTCTTGAAAAAAGGTGACCCGACGATTTGCGCCAACTATCGCGGGATCAGCCTAATACCTGTCGCGTACAAGGTTCTTTCAACTGTACTGTGTGAAAGGTTGAAGCCACATGCCAACTCACTGATTGGACCTTATCAGTGCGGCTTTCGACCTGGTCGCTCCACCATTGATCAGATATTCACACTGCGACAAATCCTGGAAAAAGCCCACGAACGTAACATTGACACTCATCACCTTTTTGTCGATTATAAAGCAGCTTTCGATAGCCCCATTAGGGATCGCGTTTACGCCGCAATGTCTGAGCTCGGTATCCCTGCAAAATTAATTCGACTTTGCAGAATGACGCTGAGTAATACCCGTAGTTCCGTCAAGGTAGGATCGAGTCTCTCTGAACCTTTTGATACCGTGCGAGGCTTCAGAAAGAGGCCCTTATCATGCGACCTCTTTAATTTCGTCATGGAAGTGATCATGCGCGGGGCAGGTGTTCATCGTAATGGAACAATATTCTACAAATGTGTCCAGCTCCTTGCTTACGCCGACGATATTGACATCATTGGGCGTAGCAAGCATGATGTTACAGCTGCTTTTGCTGTTATCGAAAAGGAATCTGCAAGAATGGGTTTAGCGGTGAATGAGGGAAAAACGAAGTATATGTCGGCTACTGGTAGAAATGTGCGTCGCTCGGACACCGGGCTAGTGGCTTGCGACTATACTTTCGAATCTGTCAAGGATTTCATCTACCTTGGCACCGCCGTAACGAATACAAATGATGTCAGTCTGGAGATCAGACGAAGAATCATCATTGCTAATAGGTGCTACTATGGGCTCAGTAGGCAATTGGGATGTAGAGCTCTCTCTCGACAAACGAAACTTACGCTCTATAGGTCGCTCATCCTCCCTGTGCTTCTGTATGGCGTAGAAGCATGGACGTTATCACAGAATGATGAAGCAACACTGGAAGTGTTCGAGAGAAAAGTTCTTCGTAAGATCCTCTACGAGTTGGCGACGACTACCGCATTAGAATGAACCACGAGCTGTACGAGCTTTATCACGACATTGATATAATTCAGCGCATTAACATCCAGCGACTTCGCTGGCTTGGTCATGTCGTGAGAATGGATGAAGACGCTCCGGCGAAAAAGGTGTTTGAAACAGTAGTTGGCGGAAGAAAACGTAGAGGTAGACCGTGTCTCCGGTGGAGTGATCAAGTTGAGGAAGCACTAACTGGACTTGATATACGAGACTGGAGAAGGCGCGCACGCAGCAGAGGCGCCTGGGGAGACATGCTGCGTCAGGCCGAAACTCGGTAACGGGTTGTTATGGCCACATAAGTAAGTAAGTAATTTAATGCACACATAATATTTAAGAACAAGCAAACACCAAAAACATTAACCTAAACACACACAAATTTTTTACTTAGCAAATAACAGCGCTCATACAAAATTTTTACGAATGCTACAACTGATCGACTCATTCATTTTTTATAAGTATATTCATACCACCGGAGTATATGCTATGGTTCATGAATCATTTGCCTTTTATTCTACTTTACTTTGAAATTTTTACACATTCTTGTGAAGTTGATTTATTAGCACCGGCATTAGTCAACGAACATACTTATGATTAATTTCTGTGGCGAATGTGAATGCATGTAAGTAGAGTATGAGGAAAACCTTTATACTCATTTATATTAGGTTTTTTATGCGTGTACTCTGAGTGTTAAAATTATGACTCGTTGCAGTTCTCTGATGTAGACGAAGGGGTACAGATTTGTCCTGCATCAACCGGAGGAACTATGTTCACTTTTAAATTAATTAATTTTATTTAATGTTTATTATGTTATTATTAATGTAATAATTATTGATTTTATATTTATTTTTTATATTGTGATTTACAATACTTAATTCATTATTTGAATGTAGTTTGTAAATAAATTATATCATGTACGATCACATTGCTGGAATAAATCACATTGCAATAATTATTTGGATAATAGCGGGCATAAAAATATTCGCATGTTCAACGTAAATGCTAGCAACGTACTAGAGTAATACGATCACCGTCACACGCCACTGTATGATTTTAATAAACATTTCTGTTCTGTAAAGGGCAGGAATGGGCATCTTAACAAGATAACGCATATTATTTCTATAGATGCAATATGAGTTATCAAATTTTATGTAATTGTATATATTAAGTCATTATATAATACGACAATGCAGTGCACAGGATTTCCACGAGTAAGTTTGACATCATAACATTAGATTTCCCAAATTTTAAATAGGTTCAATTGGCGACAATACATCATAATCTTATGCTTTCAGTATAAACTATTTTCTAGATAAACTAGATAAACTGGTACTTGCAGTCTCAAAAAAATTATTTACGAATAATTAAATACTCGTACAAGAATTATATCCAAGACCCATGACGATGGGTATTTGGCAATACTCGAAACAGTGACCATAGAGGTCAGCCAATAATGCAATTAATTAAAATAATATAAAAAAGAATGTTTGTTGATGTAATTCACTACTTATCGAAAAAACTTCTTTATGTAGATAAATTATTTAATTTTAATACTTTTAATTCATTCAAGACTTTTTATAGTTCAAGTGCCTATTAGAATTCTTGAGCAAATTTATAGAAAAATTTATAGAAAAATTGTTCTGATACTACTTTAAACGTTACCTTAGCATCTTTTAGCTAAATCGGTTAAAGTGCCAAGTTAGCTAATCTGATCAGTATAGGTCAGAATCAAGAGTATTAGATAGCATTTTGATTGTTGTTATCATGTTTTTCTTATTGTTTTTTCTTTTCAAACTTAAAGAAACTTAAGAGAGATTATACCTACTATTTTCCGATGTTAAATGCTTTTACGCGAGAAATTGGAGTCGCACCAGATATTCTAAGTAATTTACTCACAAAACGACAACTCTACAAAATTCAAGATTTCATATGCAAAATTTTAGTAAACGGTTCGGTTTGTGTCTGTAGTGTGGAAAATGTGGAACTTATCTGGGACTTGCACCTTTTACACACACTCAACTCAATTTCACCAAGGCGTAAATACCCATACGGGCAAATATTGTTTAATTGCTAATAAAAATTCATATAAACTGGTTATTTATAATATGAATAATTTCAATAATATGAATATCTTATAAGACGAAACTTGCTGTCTTAAACGAGTATACTTACACAAATGAAAATGGACTATTCGTCACCAAAAATAGTTTTTTTCCCGCGTTGATAAGCTTCTCGAAATATACAGGGAGTAATGCGTTTTTTTCTATATAATGATCAATATTTTCCATTACGATTCGATGCATTAAGGGATGGCAGGACTGCACGGACGATTTTATATCATGAAATAAAATTTCTGGATGATAATCGATGTGTTTTTTCTCAAAATATTCCGCAACATTGCACAATAAGCACATTTCAGGCACAGAGAACAGATCAGCGAGTTGGACCATTTTCGACTTAATGTTAGGCTAGTCGGAAAAATACTTGAATAACAATTATTTGTGGAATGATGTTTAAGACAATACCTGATAATTTTTTGATTGCCCCTCAACGTAAGCAATAGGAATTATACGATTTTTATATAGTTTTAAAACTTCATCGTCTGAAATTTTAGTACGGCCTCTATATACTGAGTCTAATTGAATTTGAAGAAATGAGTCCAGTTTCAGCAGTAAACCTTTTTCAATGTCATAGTGTAGACCACGCACTGCGAAACCTGGTATATATTCCAGATCAGCAATTTCGCTAGGATACTGCATTTAAGTACACAATCGTTTTCATTGTCTTCAATATATCTATTAATCTTTACCTTATAATTCTTTATTAACATTTCCCGACCCAAATTATACAGCAAATCATGAAGGCATGGTTTGTAGCACGCCAGCGTGTAATCATAATCAAATCCATAGACGGACACTTCGCTCAAGTCTAGTTCGTTGCATGCAAAGACACCTCTAGCATTTACATTTGGTGGCAATTTTTTGGCTGAAATCATTCAAAGCAAAACATTGTAGTATTAATATAATAAATGCCAATCAACACCAAATCAAAAGAAAGTTTAATATTGCGATCTTCTTAATTCAGATTTAACTAAAGTATTGGAAAATCACTATAAGGCATTTTCGTTTCTGTTTTTCTTATATAATACTATAGTTATAATCATTTAACACTGTTTATGAATACTTTAAAAGGAATAACCTCCGGAATTTTAGTTTAATAATTACATTTAAATTTTTGTTTGGTGATATTATAAAGCAATTCAAAATCGGTTGACGACTCTTGCTTATCGACATTAGTAGAATATGATTTATTCGAACAAATTAATTTAGAATACACATTGCTTGAATGATATAACTGAGCCCGCAAAAAGCATTTATTTAATTTCAAATACTTATGAAGCATTTTATGAATTAGATTAATTCGCTACTTTATATACAACACATATATAAACAAATAACCCACTTCGATGCTTAACAAATTCTAATTGCCTTATTAATAATAAACACAACAGATGTTTGAATAGCCGCTGTATATGTAAACAGTGGAGAAATACATGGTGCTTGTTTGCTTTACGATCAAAGAATATTTTACAAGAACGGCAACTCCATTGCGAATTGAAATTTGTTTTTTAAACGACAACAATTCGCCGTAAGTCTCTTGAAGGTGTTAGCGATAACAGCACTTACATTTGAAATTACTAAAATTTTTTTACCTTTTTACCGTTGTCCGAAGTTTCTTCGTACACTTCATCGTGTTTTTGTTTTTCAGAACGGAGTATTTTCAAAGATTTACCGCGATGGGCGTAAGAAGGAGAATAGTTTTATTTCTCTGTTTTGATATTTTGCGAGATATATAAAATATCGTTGCGCCAAATTATACAAGACTTACCACGTAAATACTTTAAAAAAGCATGTACTTGAAATCTAAAGTACATTCACTGCTGTAATATATAATAACAAATAAAATTTGCAAACAAAAAATAATTTAAAATTTAAATGTTGAAAAATCGTGTTAATTAAAATCTTAACAAGTTTTTTTTTATGCTCATATGGAGCTTATAATAATACATTTATTATAGTCTTTTACTACACTTAATTTTATGAAAACAATTTTCAGAAAAAATATTTTTAGAGAGGTTTCGAAAAATAATGATTTACAACAACAAAAATTCTTTTTAGCATTTTAATTAATTGAATTTTTGGCTGACCATACAGTTGAGTAGAGTTAGAGTATTGCCAAATACCTATCATAAATGATCTTGGAATTAGTCTTGTATTTAATTATTGATAAATAATTTTTTGAGACTGCAAGTTTCAGGAATTGAATTCGTGTCCTGACAGCGTTTATTAGCCAGCTGATCCAAAACCGTACTTGACTTGTATGTTCGCACTTTTTTCTGAAGTTTTGCCAATTTGCTCTGAAAGTTTTTTAACAAATTCACTTGCTGTGTTATATTTTAGAACGAAATCATAAACCCGCTGAAGAATAATTGAATTAATTAATTATATTTGTTGAATTTCAATACTATTCTTTTGTAGATTTGTATGTGTTGTTGTATGATTTTATACATGTTACGGTTACTCCATGATTCGCACAATTTTAATATAAGTTGTAATTAAACGTCAGTTATGACTGGAGTGACTATTATATTTAATAAAAACTAGCATATTTGGTAGAGAGGTTTTTTGTGAAATCATTTGTAAGAAGTACTTGTGTTAAAAGTATGCTCACTTTGTAAATTAGTTTTATTTATTGTAAATATGTATCGTTTCATATAAGACGTTACATGATTTATGTGTTAATAAAATGATTTAAATTCTGATATATGAAATTAAAACCCAAATTTTTTTGGGACTGGTCTTCTCTCCCCGTAATTGTTTCAATAAAAGACGCGTGTGTTCTTTATGTCAAAATAAGACTGATTTTTATTTATTCAAGTTGCTTTAATCTAACATAGTTTTTAATACTAATTTCCTATAGGATCTTTTATTATTACATAAGATTATTACTTAAATTGGTTAACACAAATTAGACGTGTATAACATCTTAAATAATAACTTATCAGTAAATGGTGTAATAACTTAGAAACAAGTGTTCCACATATGGTTTCACTTGAAACCGTTTATTCTTATGAACCAGTGTTGACTCATGGCATATAGCACATATGGTGCTATTTGTCATCAAAATAAAGGCTCATATTACTCGATAATAAATTATTGCTATTTTATTTAAATAGTTCTGTGTCATACTATTTTTTGTCCATACTCATCATACTCATAGCCATGTTTGTACCGCTGCATAAGTTGAAGTACTTGCCTGTGCTTCGTTATCATTATCGGTGGCGAATATCATTAGCTAAGATCAGCTTAGCTTTAAGCGAATCTACATCATTTACCTTAACAATACAATAACCAAGAAATTCCGTGGTTAATTCCAGTAACTTACACCTTACCATTCGGAGGAATCAAACCTGTTATAAGACCTTACAGGTTTGTTAATGATGGTTCTATTACCATTTCAGCAAACCTGGATTCAATCTCAACCCATTTCTCTAGCACTTTTTTTCAATGCCGGTTGAATAGTAAAAGAAATAAGCAGAGGAAAATTTGAGTATTAGGTTTATACTAATTTTATATTAAAAATATTACTGCTAATGTGCAAATTTTTCTGAACTAAATTCGTAGTTGAAATATTTTTGTTATCGGTGGCTGCTATCGGTTACTTTTACATATTTAGTGGACTGTATTTTTATTACTTTTAACGTTACAATTTTTATTTTTCCTTGAAGTTTAGACCATCTCGTCCTGAAGCCGATCCCTATTCTTCAACTTTACAAGCTTCGGAAAGATGGCCTTGTACTCTTTGTACTTGTCTACTACCTTCTGGTAGCTTATCTTACCATCATCGTTTAGCCATTTTACCAATATGAATATAGCCTTCTGGTCAAAAATAGCAGAATCTCATATTTAGCTCAGACACCTTCTTTTTGCAGCAGGTGCACTATAGCTGATGCGTTTTACTGATGGTTTTTTTTTGTTTTATGCCGCTTTTACACTAGCCGAAAATGGCTCATTTTAGTCAAAAATCAAAAATTAGAAGCGAATGATTCATTCGCGCTTGAAATTATGTATGCAAGAATGCGCCATTCACATCACATTCTGTATGAATGCGTCCCAACGACGTTCGCATGCATCCCAAATATGTTCCAAATGCAAAGGAATACATTGAACATACCCTAAATAAAAGCATTTTGACACTTTGAGACACTTTGTTTTTGACATATTTACAAAAAAAAGGTAAACAAATTCAAAATGAGCCATTTTTGGCAAATGTAAACGCCATATTAGGGGCGTAAGCGTAGTCCCGCCAGAAACTCGTCTTCGAAAGTAGTGCCTAACTCCGTCTTTAGTTTTTTTTGATGCTTTAATTTTTCTATGAATATCTATTTTTGTTCCACCGACTATTAGAGAAAGAGGTC